AATCGCCCCCAGGTATGAGAAATGGTAATACATATATAAAAAATAACACTTTATGTCGTTTGTATAATTATGACACTCGCGTATAATTAAATCTTGTAGGAGATTTATAAAAAGATGAAAGGATATGGTAACTACAAAAAGATGTGAATATTAGCGCAACCTTAAAACGCTTTACCTCTTTTGACAAAGATGCGTGGAGGCATGTTAAAAAAGGAATTGAAGTTTGAAAAAAACTTGCTCCGTGTGCTGGACGATTTTATAAGGTATTTCACACCTGAGATTCAAAAATTCCACTTAAGACAATTTACCCTACTTAAGTAAAATATACGCGGTTTTTATGTTTAGGGTGTGTTTAATTGGAAAGTTATGATAAGTTGAATGTAGTTGAATGTGGGGCTTATACAAAATATTTAGTATAGACTAAGATAATAATATATTGAGTGTTGGTTATGGTATAGGATAATTCCGTGAGTAATAATACTATAAACTGTGTTACTGTATGTACATTTTAACTGTGGTTTTTTTTAAACACAAACAGCGTTTCTGCGGTCGAGTGTAAATGTAGTCGAAAAAATTTTTTCCCTCAAAAATGTCAACAATAAAAAAATAACTAAACGCTTATAGCATTGAGTATTAGTACTAACGAATATACGATTTTTTATTTTGTATTCTTTACTGTTTTAGTAGGTGTAGTATGTAGGTCACCGTTAAAATATTGGCAGACACCATATTCCTGTAGATCACTTGCTACCTAAGCTAAGGAGGTATTCGCGCCAAAACAAAAAAAAAGTATCTCTTCAAATAAATAATGGCAATGAAATTCACAGTTAATTTCATTTTCACTTAAAGTAAACATACATTCGTTTGTGATGCACTTGTGGGCGCTAAACTAGGTTATTTCCATATCGCGTTACAACAACAAAAAAGTGTTAATACTGTTGTGTACATTACAGAATTATGATAAACGTAAATTGCAGACAGACAAAATGAAGTCGGATCGAGTTGAAATGTATATGGAATACTTATTTGCTATGCCCTCACACGTCAAAAATATCAAATTCAACTTATACCTATTTCCCGCCTCCCTACGGGCTGCAAGTTATTTTTTTTTTTTTTGGAGGATTTTTTAGCCGTAATTTTAGGGCTTTTAAGTTGAAAACTTGCCAGTAATTAGAAGTCATATGTGTCCATAACATATAAAACGAAGAAAAAACTTGGGACAGTTTTTCTTTAATTGCCGGAAACCATGTTTTTCGCAAATTTCGTACAATCTAACACAATATACACCATACATCTTAAAAAATAGTTATGCAATCATTACATCCTTATACGAACATCTATTCAGAATGATACATTTAAGTTTTAATACACAAATACTTGTTTTTAGTTTAAATTTGTTTATTTTTTTTTTTAATTAAATTTTTTTTGGCTGAATGAGTTGTAAAATTAAATAAATCTTCGGTTTGTTAGATCGTGGTACTTAGAATTATGTTTAGTCAGTTAATTATTTTATTCTGTGTATTTTCTAGCTGCCACATACTTCCAAAAATTTGTCAGTGATTATTACCATTTGTTTATTTTCAAACTAACAACGCCAAATGTTGTTATGCCGTTGAATTTACACTGTGAAACACTGCTAGAAACTCAATTAAAATCTCATAAAAGTACATTCATTCATATGGAAATCAAAACATTTAAATTGTATCATAAAGCGTTAGTTGTATTGATATAATTCGTTTGTTACAAAGATTTTTTTAAACATTTTTTTTTATAGACAGCCGCAGTATTAAATTATGTCCAACAAAATTATATACTTATACTTATTAATATATAAGTGTAAAATACAACAATTTACGCTTTACGGCAGTTTTTCTTCTTTCTGGAAACCTAATTTTCGGTAGTAATTATTGGTGACCAAGTTTATTAGTTTTTCAATTTCTAATTGGGCGTTTTCAAAAGAATGAATATTGCAGGCATGATGAACACTTAATGCCTGAGGTTCGCTTGCGTTTGTGGTTTGTAGCATTACGCAGTGTTCGGTTGTAAAATTAGTCAAGTGGTTTATTATATGGTGTTTAAACATTTTCTTCCATAGAGCGGGAATTCTCGCAATTCTCGAGTTGTAATTATTACGGTTTTCCTCGTTGTATTGTTTTAAAATATTCTTCACGTAACGGATTAGGAAGATACTTGTCTTTATAAGTTCTATATTTGAATCTGGCTTAATATTTGGGCTTTCACGTAATGTATTCAAAGATTCTTCTAGAAAACTCAATGCATCGGTTATACAGTCAAACATCTCGTGACTTTTTTTTATAAGACCCGATGCTAAATCGAGCATATCCCAAAATCTGTCATAGTTTAAAACAGATTTTCTAGCTTTCGTAGAAGATACTCTGTAGGTTTTACGGTAACGTCTTCGACAACAGAGCTTATTGCTCACACTTTTTGCTTCACGTGAGCTTTGGTCTACGATAAATAAAATGAAGGATACATAATCTAATATTGCCTTTGCGTACAAACACTCCATCAATCGAGCTGTCATCGAGTATTTTTCGTAGACATTTTTGTCGGTTACGCGAAAAAGATTGGGTTTTTCATCGGGTACAAACAGTTCATTGCCAAAAAATGTTTTTGTGGATCCTTGTTGTTTGCCTTTAATATGGTCGATTTGACACCATCCAGGATTGCTTAGTATAACGTTGATTCTAAAAATTAAATTTTCTTTGTCATTACATGTTATTAAAATTTGCCACATACTGATTATTATTAACATTATAAAGACTTTTAACACAATATAAAACATTTTAATGAAATACTACTGAATTATTCTTTTTTTTTTTTTTAATAAAATGAACAACAAGTTTAGCTATAGTTGTACTTTAACAAAACTACTTAAGGTTGCTGCCCATATCCTAATTGCAACCATACAAAACATGTTTCAAACGTATAACAAAAACAAATGCAAGTTTACTTTAAGTAAACTGAAAATAACTGTGTATTTCATTGCGAATTTTTGTTTGAAGAGTTGTTCTTTTTAGCGTTTGTGCGAATACCTAAGGCGATTTTAGTTTTACAATACAGTGTGATCAACTTATCGTGAACCATTCAATATCACACTGGGTTTAATTTATAATTTTTTTTCCATAATTATTTTATATAATGTGATCTGTTCATGAAAACTAATGGATTTCAAGATAAAATTTATTTGAAAACGATTTCAACTTATAACACGGTGATACTCTTCTTTTACTCTATTAGTCGTTGACCGATTTCAGGTAAGATTTATACATGTTGGGTATTAAATTATAAAATGGGTAAAATGGTAATTAGTTTGTTATGTTTTGTTTTAGATAACTACTTGAAATTGTAAAATATTTTATTTACTTACCAAGTACAGTTCAAACCAAACTGCACAATATGGAATTTAAAAAAAAAAAAATACTTACAGTCAACTTATAACAATGAGCTGTACACCGTACTAATTTTGTATTAATGTATTTATGTTTTATTATTAGAAAGACATCTAAAGAGAACCCATACACATTAGTTAATCATTTAATTTTTTTTTTTGCTTCATGATTACCGTTCCGTGTTTTCACTTTAATATGACTGAACGATTGATAGTATTACCAAAACACTAGTATAACAACCTACTTTGAAATACATTTATTAAAATATAATAATTATCAGTACATATCCAGATAATCAATACTTCTGTTAGCGTTAAATAGGGTTTTTATGTATTGTGTTGAATATTTTCATTTTTAATTATCCTTATCCAATTGAATCTATCTAGTATAGGTATAGAGGAGGGGATGGATTCGTCCAAAAAAAAAAAAAAAACGTAATGCGCTAACGTAAATTGCCACTTTATTATAGGGGGAAAAGAAATACGTTGCATTTAGGGAAAAGGAGCGCGATGGTTGGTACATTTTTAAATTTTTTTTTGCAGAGGTCCACAGTTCATGAACCGATGTGGAAGGGTTTAAAGATGAGCAGAAAGAATGCTAAGTACGTTTTTTTGCCTACTTAAGCGTGTGGGTAGTGGAAGAACGAATACGTTGATAAAAGAATAATAATAATAGTTATTGTTCTTATGCGTATATTATAATAAATTCGTATGAATAAATGTAAAATGTTATACCCGTTTTATTTTCGAACGATCGCCGACAAATAAAATAATTTTTAATAAAATATAGTATATTTAAAATATAGAGATAAGCGATGACATCAATTTTAAAATTTTTTTATTTTGACTTTATCCGAGTGTTGCTGTGCCGCACGCGGGGGGTCAGATGTGGGCAGCGAAACATCGACAACATATTATTTTAGTTAACAAATAACAAAAGATTTTATTTTTCATGCATTGAAAACGGTATAAATGTAGAGTGACGGTGACTTCGACCGAAAACCCCATTTGGTGAGACGATACGCCGTTATTTTTTCTCCACAATGAAATTACTTTTTATTTTTGAAAATATAAATAATTTGTCCTTATATTATAATAACATGTTACTTCGTTTGATTTTTCTTATTACGTACGAATTTTCTATATTATTAAAATATTTTTCCAATTTCCTAATTTTTGCGCCCCTTCAAATGTTGCGCTCGGGGCGAGGGCACTTTTTGCCCCCCCCCCTTGCTATGGCCCTGGCAATGACCGCAGCGTTCCCGGATATCATAATGTCCCGGAGAAGTTATCTGGGAAACGAGTAGTGTCGTGTTGCGATTGTAGGTCAATTATATATTTTCAAACCCAAATTACAAAAATTGTATATTATACTATATTCTTTTAAGAACGATTGATTTTCGAGTAGAAATTTTTATAGAACATTAAAAAAAAATGCTATGGTATGTGTTAATAAGATTGAAAAGAAAATTGCGAACTTGCGTCAGTGTAATGTAAACTTGCAATAATATTAATACTAAAGCCAGCTGTGTACATAAAAGAATATGGGCACTGCAAAATTTATTTCGTTTTCACCGTTTCGGTCGACATAAACGCCCATCCTAGTGTCGCGAAAAAATTACTTTAAACAAATTTAACAAACACATCAATAATTGTTATTTTGCCCATGAATGTTCGTACTTTAGTAGTTGAAGTTTATTACTTAGTATATACCTATTAACCATCTTCTGATATTGTAAGTACAATTTTTTTGTACATTATTTTGTTTTACTAATTATTATCGTCGACGCGGAACTGAGAAGGTATTGTATATTTTATACTATTGGGTTTTTATTTTAATTTATTTTATAGGTTTTTTTTTTGTGTCTGAACACACGATATGATTTTTTAAACCGTTGATCCGATTTCTTCATGTAGCAACTCTATAAATCAACTTGATTTAAAATTACTATGCTCTATAACTTTTTTACTAATGAATTAGTTTAAATGTCTATGTAATATTCTTTAAACGTAGTACTACCCATAAACACTGTCAAACCAAACAAATATCATAAACTATTTCCCCTAAAAGGGATACAATTTTTTCTTTATTTCTCTTTTATAAGCAAAGTTTTAGATATTTAGATCTAAAAACTAGATCGAAGGTAGATCTAGGACGGAACTATAATATAATATACAAGTATTATACTTCGTGCTTCAATCCTACGGTACTAGCTTTATTATGTTTATAGTTTGTACTATCCTTTTATATAAATTCTCTCAAATAAAATTATTTATAACACAGATTGACAATATTCCCGCCTTAAACATATTATTCTAGAATTTGTGTAAGATATTTTAATATAATTTTTCTACTGTTGTTTTGAATATTCATAAAACGAAATATGAAGGGTGATCCAACTAATGTAAGACACTCAACTTTTCTGAAAATAAGAATATTTTGAAAATTTATTTTGTAAAATTATAACAAATGAACAAATAAATAAAAAATCAAAATTCAAACGCTGACTTATTTTTTAATTTTTTGTCTACAAATTCATGTTATTAAAAACATTTGTTGCCGTTTAAAAAAAACAAAAACTCCCCTCTTTGGCTTATAAGGATTGGTGATAAATAGTTTAAAAATGTTGAAAGATGTAGAAAAATATGTACCTAAAAGCTTAGGGAAAAATTGTTTTTTTCAAAATATTCATATTTTTAGAGAAAACGAGTATCTTACGTTAGTTGGATCACCCTGTGTTAAACTTTTAATAAAATAACGTGTAAAAATTACATAGGTACACTGACTTTAATGCGTACCATGTCTTTAATTTGTACACGTTGTCTTTAGGTTTAATACTTATTTAATGACTATATGTGCATCTTAAACCGTATAACATATTTTGTGATTACACATAAATGTAATATTATATCTGCTTAATAGCAATACGCTTGATTAAAAAGTCTAAAACAAAAGTTAAATTAGGAAAGCTAGTACAGTGAGGCGGGGCAAAGTGGTAGTGGAACATATTGAGGTGGCGATTACAAGGTTTATAGGAATTTTTTACAAGTAAAATTATAAGTGGGGTTATCGGGTGTTTTTCTCGATTTTAAAAATAAAGTTTTATCATTTTTTGTGTATTCAAGTGTCCCACGATTTATATCATATTAAAATAAAATGACTTATGTAAAACTATTAAGAAAAACAATTGTCTCACTTGCAAATCATAAATGAATACGTATACACAAAATACAAATATTAAAACAAATTGCTAAGCTCCTTAACACAATTTAATGAAACTGAATATATTTCAAATGTACAAAATATAAGGTACCTATTTATATAAACTTCTGTTATATTATGGTAAATCATATAGAACTAGTTTAGGTACTGTAATTTATTATACTGTGCTTTTAGTACAAGGGAATGCATCGATGCGAATTTGCGGAATGTGATAAAATCATATTGAGATTTAAAAACTGATTTGATCCAACATTGCTAACTTATTTTATACTGTACTTGGTTTGGAATGTACTGGTTTAAAATGTACTTGGATTTTTACTATTTCTATATTGGCATCAATTATCTGTTATTAATCTTAATGTTTGACTTCTGCTACGACTTCTGATCTATAAAGTTGCTTATAAAGTAATTGCTTCGGCTGTTTTAAAGATATCGTTAGTCCAGACAAGTGAAAATGAAAAATAACAAACACGTCATAATAATTGTAAAACCAACATCTTCTCGACTAATTACCGACTAATTGTTTATTCTTATTTTAGCAGATAAAATATGAAACTTTTAGGTATTTTAATATCATTTGCATTGGTTGGAAATGTTTTGGTCACTAAATTAGGTAATTATTCAATTTTTACTCGTACCTATATGAGGTAGTAGAATCTATTAAAAAAATCAATATCTAACGTTTTTTTTACAGAAGAATATATGAAGGAGGTTATTTTAACAAGTCAGTATGCTTTTTTTTTTATAAAACAAAATATTTTATGTTTTATATTTTTTTTATAATTTATCACAGACAAAGAAATTAAGCAAGCTAAAGGTAAAACTTGTTTTAAATTAAAATAATAAATAATATCTAAAAAAAAAATACAATTTAATGTTTTTGGTATACCTGGCTGACTAGTCAAATAGTGTTTAAATTAAAAACAGTAGTTTCTGTAATATGTTGAGATTAAGAATGAATGATATTATAATACCAGTAAACACGAAGTAACTACTTAACTTATAAAAATCAGATAAATTACATTTTTGTTGACGAAGCAGTATCTATATTTTTATTGAAGTTCACATGGCTACAACAGTGACTATTTAAACAGAAAAATTACTAAAATAAACTTAATACTCGAGAGGCAATAGAATTGCTAAAAAATAAAAACACTTTGTTGAACTGGAACTTAAGTCCATTATAAAACATTTTACTAAAACTTGATTACTATGAACCATTAATAATTCCGCTGTGAGGTGTATTATTTTTTTATGGTCATGGTATTTTTTGTATATTATTTATTATTTTATGTAAATCCACAAATTTATTTATTCTAAATAAAAATAATAAGTTTATTCTAGATTTTTTTTTTACTCAACCATTAATTGTTTTTTCTAGAACTCATGCCGGCAATAATTAAAAATGTTATTGAAAATTATCAAGTGTATGGAATTGGTAATTAAAATTATATACCTAATAAATAAACATTGAATATATAAATGATAAATCGTACTAGAAGATAAAAATATTTTAAAATAACATAAAATATGTTACTCTAAATTTTAAATGGAATTATTTTGACAAAACAATGGTTTTGTTAATCCTCCTAATGTCATCCAATCATTATGTTTTATTTTCCAAGTTACATTTTTTCAATTCAACGATTTTATTACAATAAATACAATTACGCTTTTACCGAATTAATAGTAACATTTGTTTCCTACACGACTCCCGTCTTATTATTTCCATTAGAACAACAATTTGTATCTATTGTCTTATAGTAATACTTATTTTGTGTTATGTTAATTTCAGCGAAAATGTCTTTAATGATGGCAGTGCCGGGTAATAGTTACCAAAACCTTTTATACAAATATATCACATGTTTTACGGTACTCCATCCCCCTAGATCTTGCGACTGAAAAATAAAATTTGAATTATTATTATTTTAAAATATTAGTGAATCATCATAAAATAGGTGTTACATGAAATTCTTAACACCCGTATATTCTATGTGCTAGCAAGGAAAGTGAACGCAGAAAAAAAAATTATTATTTTTGCTCCACATTTTTACGCAGACTAGTCGCAGTAGGACACACGCAGAAGCGAGTGCAAGGTCGTTGGCCACACTATACTTTTTGCATTTTTCGTCAAAGTCTTCCGAAAATCAAACGTACTTCAATGTTACCTTAACTTCGTTCTCACTGGAGATCCTGCGACAGTTTTTTTAAACTAGAATAATACAATGTAATGTCATGAAATAAAAAATTTAAGTTATGTTAATTACAGAAGCAATTGATGTTGCATTGGAAGCAAAAGGTATAATTTTTCTTAACATTTCATGAACATATTTAAATATAATTATTTGATATTTATAATGTACAAAATGGTTTTTATTTAAATTTCAGAAGTTTACCCAGATTCTGATGGTAAAATTTGATATTCATTAATTTTAATTTTATGCTTTTCTATCATTGAACTTGGGTTGAACTGTACAATTTTGGACTGCACTGGCTAGAACTGTACTTTATTTGTACATTATTGGTTATAACAGAACTTGATTTATACTCTAAATGTTTAAACTATACCGTTTTGGAATGCACGGGTTTAGGCTATGCTGGTTTAGACCTGACAATGAGCTTGGTTTTTTAACATGGATATGTTTTTGGGCTGGGGGTCATTCTGAAATTCATGTTACAAATTCGTGTTATGGACATAAAGATCGAGATTATTTAATGAACAATAAATATGGGCACAAGGGTCCTGGACTACGCACGTGTTCATTTTCGCCGCCACCATATAATGCGCTGACACTCGCGATTGCTAGGACACTTTTGTTGGGTTGCTTGGTTATTTTCAAATAATATATAAATACACATTTCACGCATAGGACGCTAGTATGTTTTATTAACATAATAACATAAGCAAATTAGTTCATTCTAAACATTTTAAACACATTTAGTTTTCAATAGGTTAAGAATAAGATGGGATAATAGGTATTGATCTGACGGTATGCGCACAGAATAAATGCAAAATGCAATTAGAATGGAAATATATTGTGTAAATAAAAAACGGCAGCCATTTTCTGTGTGGTCCGAAATGAATGAATTATATATATTTATATACTAGATATAGATATAATAATAAAAGAACAACCACTGAGAAAACATCCGGAGGTCATAGATAATGCGTCCTAGATTTCCTATGTTTAACTATCAATGATTCCATTCTGATTAAATTTATTCTGTGGCATGCGTCTCATATAAATTATCATACACTGCAGCTGCTGAGAAATGCATAGCAAACTTAACATATGACCCTGGTACTTTGGAAGTGCGACAATGGCGGCCGTCAATTTTCAATGTTTATTAATTTTACTTCATACAAATAAAATTGTTATGATTATACGGACCCGTAATGATAAAATATATCCATGGTTCAATGTTTTTCCGAGGAGCGGAGAAAATAACTAAGGTTTTTTCTGATATTATTTCAACGTAGTTACTTGATATTCATTAAGTATGGTGCATATACATATAAACACATATAGTAATTAAAATAATAAATTATATTATTACATAGAATATAATTAACAGTGAAACAATAACACACTTGTAAAATACATTAACTGAACAGATAGAATGAGATCAAACCCCTTAGATCAAATGCTGTTTATATTAACATACAAAGTTGTACACGCGCACAAATTGCACGAGTGTTTACAAAACAATCTTGTTTTTTTTTAATAACATTTTCCTGTTTACAACGTATTTTTATTATTAAGATAAACAACATTACTATTTTAACACAAAAATGTTTTTATTTTAATTTCAGAAAATGAAAACCCAGTTTCCGTTGGTAATATATGATATTATACTTCCACATAGTTATTGTGATGAAATTACAAATTAAGTTACGTTGCTGGTTATGATGGAATTTAATTTATACTATACATTTTTAAACTATAATTGTTTGGATTGCACTGATTTGAGCTATGCTAGTTTTTTGTTTTGTTAATTTTTATCTCATATTAGCTTAAACATAAAGTAGACAGCTAGATCAGTTAAAAACTATCATAGGTTAAATTAATCTAAACAGTATAGATCAACACAATATCAGTACAGTATGAAGTAACATATTTTTTTTCACTACATTTTTTTACGTAGATAGTCGCAGTAGGGCACTCGCTGTAGTGAGATCGAGGCCATTGGCCACATTATAGTTATTGCATTTCTTTTTAACAATTTCCGAAAATCCAACATAATATAACATAACCATGTGATATGTGAACTTCGTTCTTACCCGTGCCCCACACACTTTCATACTGTATAACTATTGATAATATTGATAATCATATAAATTAATATTAATTAATTCAAAATTAAAAAAATTTTCTGTCGGATCAAATCGTAAATGTAAACCATTCTCGAATAAACTTCATCGCGCACACAAAATTTCATAAAAATCTGTCCAGCCGTTTAGGAGGAGTTTGAATACTACACACGGACATAAAAGGAATCAATGGTTAACAAAATATAAATATGTTATTGGGGCTTGGGGTCATTTCGAAATTTAAGTTGTACAATAGTTTCTATTGCAAAATTTAAATTCAACAATCTCAGTTTTAAGTAACTTCTTCTTCTTCAGGTGCCTATCCGATTTCGAATGTCGGCGACCATTCCAGCAATGCTCTCTCTGTCGGGTGCGACGCAAAACAACTCTGACGAGCTGTTTCCAAACCATTCCCATAAATTATGAAGCCATGATTTTCTTTTTCTGCCAGGGCCTCTTTTTCCATATATTTTCCCTTGCAAAATGGCTTGAAGTATTGAATACCTACTCTCATTCCTCATTATGTGTCCTAGGAATTGGAGCTTTCTTATTTTTATGGTGTTTACTATCTCAGTGTCCTTATTTATTCTCTTAAGAACTTCGGCGTTTGTAATCCGGGCAGTCCACGGTATCTTTAGTATTCTTCTATACAGCCATAACTCTAATGCTTCTATCTTCTTCGTAATGGCATCATTCAGTGTCCAGGATTCCACACCGTAGAGCAGCATAGAGAACACATAACATCTTATGTGTCTCAATTTTGTTTTAAGAGATAAGTTATGACTTTTGAAGAAAGCGCTCATTTTATTAAATGTCGTTCTCGTTTTACCTATACGATATTTTATTTCTTGAGTTTTGTCCCATTTTTCATTTATCATGGTGCCTAAGTAGCAATATTGTTCCACTCTTTCTATTCTGGTTTGATGGACATAAATGTGAGCTCCATTATAATGTTCTTGCTAATAACTATTTGTTTTGTTTTGTGTACATTTATGTTGAGTCCAAACTGATGACTGTGCTGTGTTATGTGATCCATTAAGGTTTGCAGTTCAGTAATGTTGACGGCTAAAATTATAGTGTCATTCGCATACCTAATGTTGTTGATTCTGGCTCCATTTAATTGTATACCTTCCTCTATCCCGTCTAGAGCGTCATTGAATATTTTCCCAGAATAGAGGTGAAAAATTAAGGGTGAAAAGATACATCCTTGTATAACACCTCGTAGTATCTTTACATGCTCGGTTGTATCTCCATCTAGTCTCAAGCAAGCAGACTGATTCCAATATAGGTTGCATCTTATTCTTAAATCTCTGCTATCTAGACCAACTTCTTTAAGTATATCCATCATTTTTTCATGTTTGACTCTATCGAAGGCTTTCTCATAACCAATCAGACATGCGTAAACGTCACAATTTACGTCTCTGCATCTTTGTACCAAAACTTGCACTCCAAATAATGCCTCTCTAGTGCGCACAGCTTTAGTAAAATCAAACTGGGTTGGCGAAATTTTTTCTTCGCACTTTTTATATTATCTTTTATGGATGACCTTTAAAAATAACTTAAGAATATGGTTCATAAGACTTATGGTGTGGTATTCCTCACATTTCTTAGGTAATGCAATGAATTATGATTTTAGCCATTATTTTGGTATATCTCCTGTATGATAAATATTATTAAAACATTTTGTAATCTATTTTATTCCTTCTTCATTTATCAATTTCAAGAATTCGGCTTCCACATTGTCAGGTCCCACGGCTTTTCCATTTTTCATATTTTTTATTGCGGTCTCAACTTCAGTGGTCAATATCTTTGAATCTGTTATTATCTTGTTTTCAAAGCAGCATTCGCTAGGTCTTAGATCATAGAACAGATCTTCCAGGTATTCCAGGTATTCCTTCCACTTATTTTTAATTTTTTGTTGTTCAATGATAACCATACAATCTTCATCCATAAGTTATTTCTGATGCCGTTTTTTGAATTCCTGTATCCTCTTTTATTTTTTTGTGAACATTAAAACTATCATACTTGCTTTGCAATATCACTATCTCTACACATATCTCCATAGCTTCTTTTTCCTTGGCTTCTATAATTTTTCTTCTTATAAGTATATCAAATCTATTATATTCCAAATTACTTTGTTTATGTTTTCTTCTTTCTTCTATTAGGTCTTAAATTTCTTCTGCCATCCAGGGCTTCTTTATTTCTCTATTGGTTTTTAAGAATTCTTTCTTTATGTTCTGTACCATTTCGTTACCATAACGTCTTCTTGATAACTGTTACCCTGTTTTAACTAATTGATTTGTTCACATATTTTTACTCCCACCTTCTGTTTTACCGAAGGATCTTTTAAAGCTGCAATGTTAAAATATGGCTTTGTCTTCCTTTCTATCTTCTTAAGTCTTAATTTTATGATACCCACCAAAGGTGTGTGATCAGACATAATGTCCACATCTGGGTAAGTTTTAACTGAAGTGATGCTATTTCTGAATCTTCTATTCACCATCATAAAATCTATTTGGTTGCGGATCATTTTTTCTGGTTTATCTGTTGGCGATTTCCATGTGTAGAGTCTTCTTGGTGGTAATTGAAAAAACGTATTAAGCACTAAAAGTTCATTTTCTTCCGCAAACATTTCTAGCCGATCACCTCTTTCATTTCTTTCTCAAAGTCCACGAAGACCGACGAAAGCTGTCTTCACTTCTTCCCCCAATTTGGCATTGAAATTACCCATTATAATATTAAGATTGCTTTTAGGAAGACGCCAAAAAACCTCTTGGACACCCTGATAGCTCCACTTCTTTCGCACTTTTGCTGCTGTTAGGGCATATATTTGTCTAATATTCATATTGGTATAAAGTTCGTCCCACATTCTTCGATGTTATACCCCAACCTCATGTTCAAATCTTCCTTCTGCTGAGCCTGAATAAAATATTCTATATCCTTCTTTTTCTATATCCCCTGATCCAGGCCATCTCATCTCGCTTATACCTATAATTTCTATTTTCACCCTCTTCATTTCCTAGATAGCCCGTCGCCTTATTCTAACCCGAGTCCCACACGGGGGTTTAAGTAGCTATTATAGAGAAATTATAAAAAACTGTTTATTTTTATTGGATTATTATTATTATTAGATATTTTATTGCAGGCCCTAGTCAAAATCAAATTCCATTAATAGATCTTGATCCAGATTCCGAAGAAGGTAATCATACAATTATTCGATAGTCATAAATATTCCTTAAGGGTAAGATTATCAGATAAAACGTATCTATGGTAATCTATTTGTTTGGCAACTAATTCGGTGTAAAGTTGACCGATAGTATACCGTCAATAGGACAGGTGATTGAGGGAAGAAATTATAAGCTCATATATATATAACAAAAAATATATATTGGCTTTTTTTTACACAAGTGAAAAGATTTGAACAATTTTGTAATTTATGCCTAACTAACCTGGTGTCCACTTCTAACTCCATCCAAAACCAACTGGTCATCACCGCTTTCCCAGGACCGCACCGGACTTGACTACCACAATTGCTTGGACGCCCAACCAACAACAACAACAGGAGGACTCAAAATAGCTTGTCCACAACAACAACAGAGTACCAAAATGCTTGTCCCCAACGTGAGGGCTGACGGTTTTCTTCATCAATAGTTTGGTGGATTTGATACCCGCTTTCCATAGCCCATCAAAATGGGGCGCTGCCGGTGGGTTAAAATGCCAATTACACGTCGTGTTTTTTATAATAAGACTTTGTGCCTCTTCTTCCTTCATTAGAACTTGGAGTTGCTTATCAGCACCAGTGAAATTTGTTCCGCAGTCCGAATACACGTCAGAGCGAACTCCTCTGCGGGCAATAAAACGACTTAAAGCCGCCAGGAAAGCATCTGTTGACAATTCGGTGGCCGTTTCAATATGAGTAGCCTTCGTGGCTACACAAATAAACAAAGTTATATAAGCCTTATATTGCTTGGACTTTCGGCGTTCGCTCTCCTTCATCATGAACGGACCACCATAATCAATCCCGACATGACAGAATGGTGGAGAGGGTGTGACTCTGGGAATTGGTAAATCGGCCATCACTGGTTGAGGGTTAACTGCCGCCCATTTCGTGCAAGTCATGGATCGTTTAATAACTTTGTGGATTTCACGTTGAGCTGACGTTGTCCAGAACATACGTGACACGGTTGCCAAGAGCAATCTTGGTCCTGCATGTAAAAAATATATAAGATAATGCCGTAAAATGAGGAGACCTAAATGAGATTCTTTGGGCAAGAAAATAGGAAACTTCGGCTCTGGTGAAACATGATAAGCTATAGCATCCCGAACGGAGTCCCAGTGTAAGCTTAGTACACGAATAAATGTCATTTGGATCGTCGAATGATACCTTCATTTCACATCGATCAGCAGCGGGAATGCGCTCTAATACTAAAGGACAATTACTTGTCTATTTTTTCAGTTCCAAACCGTATGCCTGTAACGCCTTAATTAAATTTTGTTGAAGTGCTAAAACACTAGTTAGAGAATCTTCTCCCGTACAAATATCATCCACATACGTGTTATGCATAATTGCCTCGTACACTTCCGGGTACATATCCTGGTTGGGCTCGGCAATTTGATGAAGCGTTTTGATGGCAAGATAGAGCGCCGGGCCTGTTCCATACGTTACTGTAAGTAATTCGTATTCTACCAGCTCTTCATCAGAATGGGCGCGACAAAGTATATGTTGAAAAGCACAGTGTTCCGGGCAAATAAGGATTTGCCGACACTTTTTCCAAATGTTCGCTGAGAAAACGAACTTGGGAAGTCGGAATCGTAATAATACCTCTGTAATATTATTCTGCAATTTCGGCCCCGTGTACAATAAATCATTTAGCGATCGCCCACTAGGCGCTCGTGCCAAAGCATAAAAACCAACCCGAATTTTTAATTTCCCGTTCTCCTCTTTGGTGACGGCATGATGAGGTAGAAAATATTTTCCGGGCATCGTTGCTTTCTTCATATGCTCCAACTGCAGATATTCAGCCATGAACTTTTGATACTCCTAACGTAGTGTAGGATTTGTTGATAACTTTCTCTCTACATTCAAACAACGCTTCATTGCCATCGATCTAGATTCTCTAAGGATAGGTTCCGGATTTGAAACACGAAAGGGCAATGGAACTACAACTCGACCACATTCGTTTCTGTACGAATTGTCCTTAATTATTTGTTCACATCTTTCATTCTCAGTCACTTCGTGTTCCATGTTCGTTGGCTCTTCCATATCCCAAAATTTAACTAATATCTCTTCTATCTCTTCTACTAATGACGTAGTAGGGACACCACAAATGACTGATTTATCGAAAGTTGCTTTGAAGTGACAGGACCTAATATAATCCATCCGAAGACTGAAGTGTATGCAATCGGAAGTGTATCATCTTCCGCATACTGTTTCCCATCAAACACATTATTTTACAGGTCTGCTCCAATCAGCAAATCGATTAGTGGGGGAACTTCAAAGTTGGGATCTGCCAGAGGCAAATGTGAGAACTGATCCTTTACTGAGGGCGACAACTGAGTGCTAGGCAAGTTAACCGTAGGTTTTTAATAATACCCATGCATTTACTTCAATTGTTGGATCAGATTATTATCGCGGTGAACTAGAACAATTGGCAAACACTTTTACTTTTAGAACGCTCACGCCTGACAAAGCTGACACAGGGACTGTCCATTTCTTTATGTATAATCCAAGGCGATGCGCACAAAACTCGGAAATCACGCTTCTTTGGGATGCTGAATCGATGAGTAATCGTACAGTCACCGCATTTCCGGATCGGTCACGGGAATGCGCCAAAGCTGTTCCTAGAACTACTGTAGACGGTCGGAAATTAACAATAGCAGAAACCACGACGGGTTCTTCTTGTGTACGAGTTTAAACGTCGTCAGACGACGCATTATTTTTCGACCTAGAGGGAGACAATGATTTAGACGTAAACCTACGAAAATGCAACAAAGTATAATGATGAAGATGAGCTTCTCCACATGAACTACATAAACTCTTCGCCTCGCACGATGATGACACATGACCCGCGCCCAAACAACGGAAACACCGACGAAAACTCGTTATTAACGTATGACGTTTAAGAAACGGCATTTTCAGGAACTTGACGCATACTTCTATCTCTGTTTACACGAGGGACATCCTACTTTTGATTGTGTACCTTGATTGGTCGCTACTAAACCTGTAGCCTTTTTTGGTCCCGTTGTGCTGGTTCTATTTCTATTCCCGGTATTATTTGGAACACTCAAATTCTCCAACACCCTAACTCGGGCCTTAACAAAGTGGACCAAGTTGTCGACGGTAGGAAACTCCTCTTTATTATCTCTCTCAAAGAGTTCTCGTGTCGATTGAGACAACGTCCGATTAGCAAGAACAAACAACACAAAGCCAGGCAAATCCGCCATACCAATTGCCTTTAAGGACTGGAGTGACTTATCAAAGACGTATAAAAACTCCACTAATCCAGTTACCGATTCATTCTCCATTTTTCGAAAATTCAATACACTATCAACTAGCATTTTTGCCGCTAACCGAGGATTGTCAAATTGTTCATTTAATTTCTGTCATACAATTGGATAATTGGCATCTACTATTCTTAATGAGTTCACAACAATTGCAGCACGACCACTAACACATCCAGCTAAATAGTGAAACTTTTCGATTGGAGCGAGGGTTCATGTTCAAATCTTGCTTCTGCCTGAATAAAATATTCTACATCCCCTGATCCAGGCAATCTCATCTCTTATACCCATAATTTATATTTTCATCCTCTTCATTTCCTGGATAGCATTATCTAACTTGCCTACTTGTGCCATTGTTCTAACATTCAAGGTACCTATTTTCAAAGGTTGCTTGAAACTGATTGACTCATCATTCTTGTCCGCACTCATAACTGTCCTCCCAGGAGATCCGAATGAAGGACTTACTCCGGAAAATAATTTAGCTGTGAGCATTGCCATGAATGATTTTACAAAGACTATCCCGTAGGATCTTTAATGTAGTGGTTGTCCTCTGCCTTCTACATCCTTATGCCGTTAACCACTTCCGTGGTTCCTCCGCCTTTAGAGCAGGTTTCCCAACTCTAGAACACAGCTCATCTGCCTCGAAAGCCATTAACTTTGTAAAAGAGTCTCCTTATCCCGGGAAACTTTCGGTGTTCCTATTAATCGCCTTTTACGATAGGGCGGACAGCCCGTGGCCTTATTTTAACCCGAGGCCCACACGGGGGTTTAAGTAACTATTAGAGAGAAATGATAAAAAACTGTATTTTTTATTGTATTATTTTTATTAGATATTTTATTGCAGGCCCTAGTCAAAATCGAATCCCATTTATAAATCTTGATCCAGATTTCGAAGAAGGTAATCATACATTTATTCGATAGTCGTAAATATTCTTTAAGGGTAAGATTATCAGATTAAACGTATCTATGGTAATCTATTTATTTCGATGGATTCCTCGGAATTGACTGTTGGTTTATTCGCATATTACATACTGGAGTATTTATAGTGTCAATGTTTAATATTTATTACTCCCTTTTATATTTTTACCATATTTTTGAGAAATTTGTTTATATTAAAGATTCTTCTTGCCCATTCTTTAGTTTAATTATTAGACCTTAATTCACAAAATTAAGCACTCATAATTGAAATAAGGGAAAGATCCAAATTAACAATCTCAGTTTTATGTAACTATAAATGAGAAACGAGAAATGATAATAAAATGTTTTTGTATTGACTGTTATCATATATTTTGTTACAGGACCTGGTCAAAATCAAATTCCACTTATAGATCTTGATCCAGATTCCGAAGAAGGTAATCATGAATTTATTCGATACTCATAAATATTCCTCAAGGGTAAGAATACATCTTAGCATTTTATGATCATATTTCAGTATAGTTATTTGATATTCATTAAGTAACGTCATTCATGCTGAATATAATAATAGATTATAATATATATAAGTCATGAAATAATAAATTTGAGTTATGCTAATTACAGAAAATATTGATGGTAACACGAAAGGAGCAGGTAATTATTAGTATTATTATTATAGTTTAAACCAATTTAAACAGTGTAGATCAACACAATAACAGTACAGTATAAAGTAAGGTATTTTTTTTTCCTTTAACTTTTTACGCATTTAAGTTGCAGTAGGGCACGCGCTATAGTGAGTTCGAGGCCATTAGCCACAATATAGTTTTTGAATTTATTTTTAACGCCTTTAGAAAATCCAACATAATATAACGTTCCTTTTACTGGGGGTCCCGTGACCCACACAGTTTTTTAATAATTATAGAATAATAGATTATAGTATATAATGAGACTTCTGAGTTATGTTAATTACAGAGAATATTGATGGTACATTGGAAGGACCAGGTAATTATCTTCTTAAAATTGTATGAATATATTATTTCAACATAGTTATTTGGTATTCATAAGTACAAAATATCAACGTAAATATGATATTAAGCTGGGGTCATTCCGAAATGTATGTGCAAAATTCTAGTTACGATTTCGCGTCATCGACATAGGTAACGATAGAGATTTTTTGGGTGAAAAATAAATGTGGGTGCCAGGGTACTATGAAATACACATGTATTTTGCGTAAAATGTGTCATTATATTATTTATGAAGAAAGGGTTGCGGCGGCCGATAAGGTTTTACTACTTTTTCGTATTTCTTTTTATTTTCATTACTTTCGTAGGTATACTTGTGTACATTAGTTGTTAAAGTAATAATATTTAATTTAGTTATTTTACGAGTAGGTAACGAAGGGTGTACCAGGAGTGACAAGCTTAAGATTACGTACATTTTTGTAATTTTTTGTGGGCAAAATATAAAAGCTGAAATTTTCAATATATCATATTACTGTCATTGTAAACAATGAGACCACGTCAAAACTGACAAGGTTATCTCTTTGTTGTATAATAGTTGTACAATAGTTTACATTGCTTAATTCAATTAAAACAATCTTAGTTTAAAGTAACTGTTTTATAGAAATTAAAAAAAAAAACTGTTTTTTATCGACTTTTATTAAATATTTTATTACAGGCCCTAGTCAATATCAAATTCCAGATCTAAACCTTGATCCGTTCACTGTTCCCGAAGAAGGTAATCATGAATTTAGTTATAAGTCGTAAATAATCCTATACTATACCGTATAATAACTAAATGTGTTATAACACACCTTTTTTCTATCAATATTGGTATTTTGTGTTAAAAACAGCTGACACTTTTTTACATACATACCTATTATTATTACTTACCTAACAGTATCCTATTTTTCTACAGTCGGGTGAATTATTATATCAAAATAAATAATGACTAATGTTGTTTATACTTACTAATAGCAGAAATCAAAAGTGTTACATTTAGCTACAATTTTTAAATATAGAATTTTTTATTTATTAAGTACAACACGTTTTTATTTCAATTTCAGAAATTAAAAAACTAGTTCCTGTTGGTAAAACAATAGTACATCTTAAACGTAAACATATAATTATATTATTTATTTCTATCATTAGAAAAGATTTACATTAAAATTGCTTATATTTTTAACATTAGAAAAGTTAAAGTACCAGAAAATGGTACAATTAGAAATCCTTGCTGTAACAGGTAATAACAAATTTGACAATTGTACAATAGCTTATACTGCTTAATTAAATCTAAACAATTACAGTTAAAAGTAACTGTTATAGAGAAAGTTTAAAAATTATTTTTTTTTATAATTTTTTTAAAAGGTAAACATATATTTATAATATTGATTTTTATCATTAGAAATAACTTACTTTAAAATTGATTTTATATTGAATATTAGATAGGCGAAAGTACGAGCAAATTATGGAAGCCGCAAGAAAGAAAAAGTTAACATCAGGTAAATAAAAAATGTATCGTTTTGTACAAAAAAATATTTCATTATTATAAAAAAGTTCCAATTATAAATGATAAATATTTTTAATTCAGTTGAAATCCAATAGATGTTTTGATAACATTTATAACTTTGTCTAAATTTTTTTTTCAAACGGGGCTACTAGAAGTTTTTTCATTATAGTCTATTTGTACTTTTAATACATTTGTAAAGTACGCATGTAGATAATATTTTCACACCAACATGAAATTTTCAAACGAACAATATTTTTCTATATTTTATTTGAGTTAAAAGTCATAAGATACATGTTTTTTGCTTCTAGTTTTGACGACCGACAGTAATTGAAATCTTTAACTTAAACTTGACTTTTAAATATAATTTTTAGTTGCAATATGTTTTATATTGATTATAAAATCTAAACAATCTCAGTTTAAAGTAACTGTTATAGATAAACTAAAAAAACTGTTTTTTTTAACTGAATTATTGTTACATATTATTTTTTTACAGAGCATGTTCCAATTCAAAGTCTAAATCTGAATCGACCGGCTGATTATTTCGAAAAAAGTAAACATGAGTTTATTCAATAGTCGTAAATGTTCCTTAAGTGTTAGATTACCAGACGTAATGTATATAGGTTAATCGAATTATTTCTTAAATTAAGAATAAATAAGGATATTTTTTGTCTAAAGTTTTTTTTTCATTTAACACTTCATTATTCTGCTAAGAATTGTATGATCTATAATTAACTGTCGAAATTTTAGTGCGACATTTATATCCATTTCAATTTGTCGTTTCAGTTATTATTGTCAAATGGAATATTTAATACCATAAAATGTAGTCAAATTTTTGACAATATTTATAAAAAAAAAGAAGACTTATTATTGTAAAATGCCATAATAGATATTGGAACTGATGTTTTTTGATGATCGCTTTAACATTTTCCAAATCGTTAATTCAAATGAGGCTACTAGAATTTCTTATATTATCTTATATTAATTGAATTGACAATTTTTTTTCAATTTTATGATTAATGTAATAGATACAGTTAAAAAAAAAAAAAAAATTTAACTTTATAACTGTTTGGTATTTTATATTTTGGTTACAGGACGTATGGAAATACCTACAATGAAATTGGGTAATTACAAGCATACAGGAATTTTTCTGATATTAGTTCAGTTCATTAGTCTATATGTTCTGCCATTTTTAATTACCGAGGCATATTAGGTATTAAAAAACTGATAATACTCTTTAAAAGGTTGAAATGGGGCTAAATAAATTAACTCAGACTTTGATTCACATAGCTAAATTAAAAAAAGGGAGGTGTAAAAAGAGTATGATTTAGGTACTAATGGCAGGTTGTACACAAATTGGTAAAATTACGGTAATTTAAGATGTATCGCGATGCTATCACAAGCAACTTATTTGTTTTATATTTTATTACCTAATATCAAATTTGTATTTTATGTTTTTTGCAGAAAATTTAGTCAGTGTTTTAGAAGAGAGAAGAATTAATCCTATAGCAGCACCACGAAATAGAATCATCCATGCTTATGGTAATTGTTAATTTTGAGATGTAATTGTTTTTAAACCACTATAGACTTTGTATATAGACCAATGAAAATAATTGATTTACAATTTTTTTTTATATAAAATAATATATTATTATATATTTTACAAATGATTGGTAATATTATGATTAGAATTATTTGTCTTTGCTAATGGGATGTGTTTTTATGTCAATTAATTTCAAAGGTGTTTAATAGGGAAAATTCACAACAATATATAAAGGTTACAACTGAATTATGTTCTAAAAATTATTCTTTTTGAGTATTATATTTTTAGGTATTTTTTTCAATTAATTAATGGGATAGGAGTTTATATTTGAAATTGTCGGTGTACTATAATTCCTTTTAATAATAATTGCATAATTAGGCGAAAATTGACGATATTACAGTTCTTTTAAATTTAATGCAATTCAATCGCAAGCAATTAATTAAATTTGTATTTGTTATTAAGGCCTGCCTTATTTGGGAAGAGTAAGAAGAGAAATTACTTTAGAAGCTATAACAAATTTAATACGTAAATATACCTACATAGTATAGTATATACAGTAATATAGTAATAAAATATAAATAGTAATACACAAATTTAGTGTTCTCTGACATAGCATGATACTTTGAATATTATTTCTACTATACAGATATTAGTTAGTATAATTAAGATAACATTTTATCTTTTCGGTAAAAACTTTAATTTCCTATAGATTCATTTTGGACTTAATGTCAATTTTATTTAACCAATTTTATTTATATTAGAGTAGACATTTTTACAAAAGACGGCATAGTGTTCCTCCCATTTCAAAAAGTAAAAGAAGAAAAGTAACATGCTTTTATGATACGGAAAGCGATTGTGTTGTTTTATTTTTCTATGTTTTTTTATACAAGTGTATTAATGTGTAAAGTTTTGTCTTGCGAATAAAGAAAATTAGTAATACATTATTTAAATTCGTTAATTTTTTTTTTTTAGGTCAAAACGATCCACTTTTCTGGGATTTGTACATGATGTGTCGTTTAGCAGGTTTATTTAGAAGTATTAAGTATCCACAATCTTTTATTTATACTTTACTTGTTGATGAAGATCATTGCTTTTTATCGGATGCAAACGATGTTGAAGGTTTCGCATATAAGTTCATTGAAGATGAATTTTGGCAAGTAGACGTAAAAGACCTGGATAGTCGAATAAGGCCATTTTTATCCGAATTAAAATAATTTGAATCAGAAATCACAGTAATCACTTCATTTATAATGCCATAATTGTTTTGTTTAAAATATATATTTTTCAAACCTTACTAATTTCCAAATTGTTAAAAAATGGAATGTATTTAATAATAAACAGTTTTTATCGAGATTATAAAAATATTCGTTGCTTATATATTTTATTTATACTGTTTTTTGATATTTTTTTGCATATTAAGATTATAGTGTTATAGTGACGTAAAATACCCATATTTTGTATAGAAATTCAATAAAGCCGTATGAATAGTTCTAAGGAAGATCTGGTGCTTAGAAGAAGCTTTAGCTAATTTGATATTCATCTTTGATGATGTCTTGTCTGAAAATCAAGGCGTGATATGGTTACATTTGCTCGAGGGCAACGTAATAATATAGATTTATTGTACTACGCACGATAACCCATATTCCCTTGTATTATTCAAAATATACCCGACCAATATTCCGCAATATTTCGGTTTGTTGAACTTGATTACATCTATATGAAAATGAAGTGCAGCTAAGTGAATTTCATTATAAATTGTGTGGTGGTAAATTGTTGTTTTTTAATGAGTTTATTACATTTGTTTTTATCACAAACCAACTCAATATTTTCCCGTCGTCGTACATTTTCTATATACTTATCTAACATAACAAACAATTTAGTTTTATTCTCATCTCTCTGGAAAAACATTGAATCAGTGATATTATGTTATAGCATTGCGGTCCGTATAACTACAAGGATTTTATTTATGAGGTAAAATTATAAATATACTTAAAATTTATATAAGATGTTTTTTGTATTTTGGACAAAAAAAAATGTAAAAATGTACGTAATCTTAAGCTTGATCGCTAGATCGCGCCATATGCACAAATTGTGCTCTTTGTAAATTCCTCTACAAGCAACTTGACCGATGATGTGGACTTGGCCGCTCTCCATTCGATAAAATTCTTAGTAAGCATATTTTGTATTTCGTGTATACCGAGTATTTAATTATTGTAATTGGGAGACAGTCGTCGTTTTTACTTATACGTGTACACATATTGATATTAAACATTTTATTTGTTATACTTATTCAACCCTTTTATTATTTGATACGCTTCTGAATAAGGATTTTATTTCAACAAAAACGGTCATCGAAATGAACATAAACTACTACTTTTCGAGTAAAATAGTATTTTTTGTCGATAAATCGGTCTAAGAGTGGTCCTAGGGCCTCAAACCCTCCCTAACGGGTAATACTATCGCCACTATCAATTCCCGGTGTCGGATTGCCCAAAAGACATCTCCTTATCCGAAATAGTAACCCTATTTGAGGTTGCTAAGTTGATAGCCGGCCGTCGGCGGCCGTTGCTATGCAAATCAACAATCGACTTTTGCTGGGAAAATTTATTCAAATTTGCTTTCTAAGGGCTCTAATTCGACGGGGAGCGCTGCTAGAGAGACGCGCGATCCCGCGTTGTAATCGCCGTGTCACGCCCTATCTGCTAATACTAAAAGCGCTGGTATTCGATGTGTTATTCGTACAGAAAAACGACTTGTACTCACTCATACACAAAATACTTTTCTTCCTAATTTCGCTTCGGTTCGGTGACTTCGAGGGCGCCATAAGCCCCCGAAAAGGACCCACCTGTTGTCTAGGTAGATGTTTCCGGCGTCAAAGACGCGCTATAGGCGAATTTTCGGTCTTCGAAGATATTCTGCCCAACGTGTAGCAACGAACTGGGTTTACACAAAATGCGTCTTCTTCTGGAATGTACTTGTCCGGCGAAGCTCCCTCCACCGTCGGGTGTTCTCAGACGTTAGCCGAACTCAAAAAACACAAAATTACAACTGAAAACGTGATATGTTCGCCAAAAGAACAAAAACCGTAATAAGAAAATATTGAAAGAATACAGTGGGTTCATATACTTGGTAACGTTCAGCGTGATGCACGCACGCACGCACAGATTTTCCGATTGACCTCTTGCCAAATAACACATCCATGTTCAAATAAATAGGTTTTTCATAATATTGTATTCGGTGTGGTAAATGGTATTACCGGACACTGCGAGCATAAACACGAATTTTATCGGCTATTGGGTTTTAGATAACCGAAAAAATATGATGTTACAAGAGGAAATATAATATCCATACAAAGACATGGTGAACGAACAGACTGATGAAAATTAAAAATTAAAACACAATCATTTTTTAAAGCTTTTTTCGTATCTACGTTGATATCAATTAAAAATAGAGGTTCCCGATACATTTTTTACGCGAAATCGATACAAATAAAAATGTTCAAAACATAGTAAAATTGTATTTAGGTGTACCTAATTAGGATTAGCTAATTATGTGTTCCTAATATCCCTTTTGTTTGGCTATCTGATTTAAAAACTAAATAAAAAAAGAAACATAAACATTTGGAAGTTATTCGACGACATAGATGTTGTAATGCCATACTCTAATTTATATTATATAGAGTTATTGCGAGTGGGCGTTTGGTATTTGAATAATAAATACAACACAAATTAATTAAATGATTAACACGCTGCTATTGATAAACACATATAATGATTATAATAATAGATAATTTCTTAGCTTAACCAACTTCCGTGTGTATAGACTAGACTATAAATTATTTTACAGTCCTATTATTTTTTTGTTTAAAACATTTTTTCTTACTGCACTAACTTCCAAATTGTCGAAAAAATTAATATATTTAATAGTAAACAGTTTTTATCACGATTATAAAAATATTTGTTGCTAATGAATTTTATTTGTATTGTTTTTTAATTATTTTTTCTGGTGCTTATGCTCTTATAAATCATAAAAATGAACTTTAAATTTACTTCATGAGAAAAGAATAGATATTGTACTCATCTCTGAGATTTACTCTGTTAATTATTTCATCCTACACCATTTTTCTGGGTATTACCACCAACATATTAACTATTCTGATAACACGACATACGTGGGGGAGCGGCTCAATAATTATTATTATATTATAATAAATTGATTTCAAAGTAAGCCGTACTATTTTTCGTTAATATTACCAATATTGAAATACAGGCGTGGAATGGTAATCGCACAGCAATAGTTTATTAAAATAAATATTTTATTATTGTGTATGAGTCTTGTAAGATGTCTTTCAAATAACAAAATATAAATAGCTGAGAAGGTATTGGTTTTATAAGGATAACTTTTTTTCTGTAGTCCTATTCACTTAAGTAACATATCTATCGATCAGCAAATGTATATAAATGATACTTTAGTAGGTCACAAATGGAAAACGCTTTAATGCGAATTTGTTAATACTGGATCCCATTTAAGTAATTTTTCAATGAACTAGTTGATACTTCGCTTGATTTATAATGGGCCTGGGTTTAGACTGTACTCTAATAGTCTGTGTTGGAAAAATCTACTGTCCAATCAAAAGAACCTATTTTGCATAGTAAATAAATACTGGTCGTTCTCAAAACGATCATAATACTGACATGACAATATTGTTTTAAGAAATTTTCAAATTAAAAGCATTTCAAACAAAAATACAAATTTAATTTTTACTGTATTATTAACTAAATTATCCATTAAATTCTAATACAACTTATTGTATTTTCATTTTTTACATACATTTGTAATTTATTAATACACCAATAAAAGTATTCAAATAGTCAAAACTTTAAACTTACACAGTTAAGAGGTAATGTGTACATCATATTGCAGTAGATTTTATAATACGAGTTATTCAAAGTTACTGTTTAATTTTAGATCTCAGTAACTGGTTAACTTCGGTTTTTTGAACTTGTTAAGTAAGCGGATGATAATAGTATTACTTTACACATTATAAAAAAAAAAGTAGGTATGTTTAATTATTGATAAAAACCGCTATTATCGTTATTTCATAATATTGTATTAGGTGAGAAATTATTCGACAACATAGATGTTGTGATACCATACACTAATTTATAGTATATAGAGTTATATCGGAATAATTATTTCATTAAATAAAAGAAATATTACATATGTAGTAGAAATTAATTAGAAATTAGTCTGAACTTGCGTCAGTGCAATGTAAATATGCAGTTATATTAAAAAAAAAACTACAACTTTTTAAATAAATTGACATGAGCCCTGCACAATTTAATTAAAATTTTACTGTTTCCGTCGACATAAAAGTCCATCCTCGAGTAGCGAAAAATCACTTAAAAACTGTGTTTAACAAACATATAAATTGTTTTTTTTACCAGTAAATGGTATTATTTTAGTAGCTTAAGATTATTACTTTTTGTATACCCATTAACAATATATATTCTGACATTGTAAGTACATTTGCATACATTTTTATTAAGTTTTAATAATTATTCCTTATCGTATATTTGTATTGCCTAAGACAACGTTTTAACCACCAAGTCAATTATATTTAAACGTAGGTCAGAGGTAAAAAAAAAGTAGCTTATGTAAACAAAAATCAAAGAAACATCCTAAAATTCAAAACGCAATTTTTCAACTAAATGATACGGTGCGATTTAACGTTGCGAGGTATAGTGGAATTATTTTGTGACTCGGGTAGAATTTTTTTTATGTAGATACAGCATATAGGAGTTTAATAGGAAATTAATTTTATTTTCATGATGTTTCGGTACAATGTGATCTCAATTTTTCTTTTGTTTTTACTCCCCTCCCAACTTATTTTTTTTCGCCATTTTTGAAACTTTAATGGTGACGCATTTATTTCAATAACTTATTATTTTAAGAATAATGCACTAAAAATGTTGACTGGTTGGTAACCAGTTTTGAATAACTATTTTCAAATATATAAGAGGTTAAAAGTTAGAATGAGAGGGGAAGTGCAGTTGATAATTGCGCATAAATAAATATAACACTACACTCTGCCATTCCTCCTGACCTAAACTTAGTTATACTATATCCTGTAGATCTGTCTCTAGCCTAACCTAACGGTCAACTTTGATTTCTTATATCTTCGCGAAATCTGCGATATCTGTCCAAATTTGGGAATTTTCTATTTACAATTTTATTGATGAAACTTTTTATATTAAAAATGCTAAAATATTTTCTAAAATACACTTTGCAAAAACTAATATAATGAAAAATGTGTTCATTGATATTACCATTTACCTAATAAAAAATACATATTTTATTGT